TCTCAAAGTGCTATCACCCCTATGGCCTGAGTGCAATCCCCAACCAGGGAACTGATCCACACAGGATGCAGCAGACCTCTCCTGTCTTGCCTGCTGCTCCCCTTAGCAGTGTATTCCAGTAAATCCACCTGTCCTGGGCCTCCTTGGTGGCACAAAGGGTTAAGCACCGCACTATGAAGCAATTCGCAGCCTCTGCAGCACAAGTTCGATCCTCGGCCGGCCAGGGAGCAACAGACCTCTCCTGTCTCGCCCACTGCTCCCCTCAGCAGTGTATTTCAGTCAGTCTGCCTGTTCTGTTCCCCACTCTGTCTCTGGTGAATCCTCCCTCACCTCTGGCCTGTACCACAGCTCTTATATGCATAAATAAATAAATCTTTGGGGGAAAAAAAATCCACCTGTCCTGCTCCCCACTTGGTCTCTGGTGAATCCTCTCACCTTCCCCCACCCCCTCATCTCTGGCCTACACCCCAGTTTTCTATGCAAAAAAAACACTGAAGATAATCATCAATGGAGACCCTAGGGCCTGTGCACTTGCTGTTCCTTCAGCGAGGAACACTTCCCCCACAGTTAGTTCTTTGATGTTCACTGGCTCTCAGAACAATCACTGGGAGAAGTCTTTGCCAAACATCCTATCTATAGGAATCAGCCCTCCCCTACAGCCAACCACGCTATCCCACTCCTTACCTAAATCACTATCCTATATTCTCATGAGTATTCTTTGTTTACTTGTTTTTGTCGGTTTTATCTAAGAACCACAAGGACTGGACCTGATCTACTTTTTTACCACTTTTCTCCAATACCCAGGCAGAGCTTGACACATAGCAGATGATCAATAAATACCTAGTCAAGAAAGAAAGGCAATATGATCGCTCATCATTCTACATCATTAGTACCAGGCAGAAGTCACTGTTAGCTTAACAAGAGTCAGATGAATACTTCCTTTTCACACAGAAAAAAAATAATAGAAAGCCTTCAACTATAGTAAAACTTGGGTGTTCTCTGACTTACCATGTTGCGTGATAGCTACATGCTTAGTAACGAAAGAGTGGGCTATTTTCTGACTACAGGGGGAAAGTCCTCCATCCTTTCTACCTACTTCCTCGGTTTACTTAAATATTGTTATTCAACAACCTTATCCCTCTGAGTAGAATAAGGGCATCTGAATTAGCTTAGGGAAGATTTTTCTGCTTTCAGTCTACATGAACTAAGTGTGCATAGTAAGAAGCTGGCCTGACAGACCACCACTCTGTCCCCCCCACACTCTGGAAAGACACAACCTTCTCAGTTCTGAAAGAAACATTTCGCTGCAACCAGCTACATTAGGTGGCATTTCCTACAGGTCGTACAGTAGGAGTCTATGTCCCCACTTCACAACAATTTGCAGCAAACTCCTGTTGAAGGAGACTGCCGATGGCCACCTCCACCTTTAGCTGCCCTAAACTTACACACTTAGTAAGAATCGTGGCTCTCAGCAGAAGAGCAAAGACTGGCAGAGGGGTTCCTTTTCTCCTTCAGAGGAAATGGGAGGGGGTCAATAGGAACTGGCATTGGACAATGTCCTCCCTTTGGCCTTCCACACAGTAAGCAAGATAAGACATGCTGCGTCTGATAAGCACAGAAGAGTCAAGATTTGTGGCCGATTTATTGTGCTGTGGTGAAAGCAGCCTAGGTGTCTCTGCTTGAAAAGACACACAAACACACCAAGTCAGACAGGAAAGGCAAAATGAAAGACATAGGAAAGGGCTCCAGCCCCCAATTTATTCTGTCAATAAAAACAGAAAATAGCCATCTCTAGGTAGCTGCTAAGGGGGGTTGGGGGGGACTGGATTTTATACTAAGTAGCATAGGTCTCCAATCTTGTCTATTTAACATCTGCTGACAATATTCTACTGCAGCTAAGGAAGGTCTAGCAAATTATCCAAAGAAACCCTGTGCTTGAATCAACCTTTAGGATTTTGAGAAAATAATAACTTATTTGACAGTGACATTTACTTTTCCAGGTTTATTTTGTCTGCCCACACACTTGCCAGTGTCATTCTAACTCAGAAAATATAAATCCACTTTCAGTTTTTCTATCATTCTTACTGCCTTTCAGTAATAGAACAGCTCCAAAATGCTTGTGCAACTTACTGCCCACTTCCTCCTTAAACACATTCCAGAACCAACTCTGTCCCTTTGCTCCCACTCGCAGTAGCAGAAGCAGCCTCTCCCATTAGCGTCATTTTTAAAAACTGGTCAAATGCAAAAGATATTCTTTTACAACTTGTTTCCCAAAAAAGGTAAAGTAGACTTTCCCCAGGATTGCAAGGCAAAGACCAGAAGAAATCTACAGCTTCTGTGGCCAACTCATTCTTTTGACCAAAAAAGAGGAAGAAGGACTGCTATGCACTGCAGCAAACCTCAACCCTACACCACGTCAGAACTTTGGCTCAGCCTGAGTCCAAATTCAAGGGCTTACCCTAAAAAGTGCACCCTAGCTAGACAGTGTTCCACTTTCTGCCCCTCTCCCAAAAGGCAGAGAAGCTGTGATGACTGTTTTCTTAGTCGTCAAACTCCTTCTTTCTAAGTGTCCTGTCACGGAGTTCCATCTTCCTTTTTAGAGGTCTTAAGAAGCAGTTCCAAGTACCCCAGGAAACAATTACTCTCCAGGAAAATACAACTTTGCTTACCAGAAGAGCTTCACACAGAGCAATTTGCCAGTGGTCGATTTTTCATTCCAGACAAGGCTTCTAAGTCTGGCACAAATCTGCCTGTTGCTCTGTAGTTCACACACTTCCCTCCCCTAATCCCTGCCTGGAACTCACCCACTCACCCCCTGTAGTTTGGGCACGGAAAAACCGCAGTATAGACCATTCAATGACTGAATTTTAAAAGCTGCCTCCTCTTCGTCTCCTGCACATCTTCCGTACCACACTCCTAAGGCATCAAGACCATGAGCACCAAAAGAAGTCACTTACCACAATAGCAGCTCCAGGGCAAGAAAAGGAGTAACAGCTAATCTTCCCTCACCTCAATTACAGTCAGCTTTCACTTTCCTGCAATTTTGCAGCCACACATCACCGGCACCGCCCGCCACGTTATAAATTCATACCCTGCAGTCAGAGGCATCAAGGCATGATATTGAACAGCATATACTCTGTCAGACAAGCTTGGGTTCAAGTCCCAGCTCTGCCTCTTATTACCAATAAAAAAGTACCTTAGGTAAACTACTAATTCTTACACATATCTGAACCTTATACATACCTGTAAAGTATAGCCCATATCTTTTAGGTGTTACAAATGAGATCACATAAGCCCAATACTCAGCACAAGACGACGCTTAATAAACTAGTGACTGTTGATATTCAGTAGTCATGCAGGTAACAGGCAGATACAGTCACCTCATAGGCTCCAGGGCCCTGAAAACCTCCAACACTGGTAGAAGTTCTGCCTCATTCCACCCCCACCATAAATATGGAAGGGGTGTTTAAAAAAAAAACTCAAGCCTGAGCAAAAGAAAGGTGAGAAAGAGCCACTCAATACTTCCTGTCTCTCCACCAAACTGCCAAGTGATGATCTATTCCTATGGTGAAGGAAGGGACAGATCAATATGAACGAAATCGCTAGTAAGAACCACTTCAGGACAATCCTTTTGTAGGTCAGGTCAATATTTCAAGAATGGAAAAAGAAATGTGGACTTTGGAAATGCCTTTCTCATTCAGCTTCTGATGAATTTTGACTCTTCATTTACATATAAACAAAAGAGAAAAGTAATATTGAAAGCTCTAGGAACCTCAGCCAGAGGCAGAATATCACCTAAGTAACGAATACATGAGAATCAGGGGGAAAAATTTCTTGAACTCTAACTTACACACACACACACACAGACACACACACACTGAAGAACATTTTAATCCTGTGAAGACAACCACCCAAGAAAATAGAATGTAAATTAAACTTTCTACAACAGCAAAAAACTATGGCACTTAATCATTTGCTGTTCCAGATGGCAATGAGAATTGCAATCTGAAATTAAACCTAGAAGTTTGTGGCCATCACAACCAAAAAGTTCGGTGACAACTAAGAAGTGCCAGGTTCTAAGATTTGGGGAGGTCGTGGGGCAGAAAAATCGAGGAAATACGTGAGAAAGAGAAATTAACCTACAAAATCATCTGACTCTGGGAGTAAAATTTTTTAAATTTGCAAGGTTTTAAAGTCAAAGTTTAAGACTGGAGGGAGGGAGAGAGTATAAAAGAGGCAGAATCTAGTGTCAGAACCCTAGACTGGAATCAGAACACTTCAGCTCTTGTCCTGGCGCTCATCCAAACCGCCATGTGACCTTAGGCAAGTCACTGGCCCTCTTCAAACCAGTCTCCTTATCTACAAGGGGTGGGGGCACAAAGATTGCCAAGATTCCTACCGGTCTAACATTTTACGGGCCAGCAGGAGGGAAGCGCACAAACAAACAGTATGAGTTCCCAGGACTTACAGACGACACAAGAGGTGGAGAGAGAGGAGGGTCAGTGAGCGAGAAAACTTGGAAGCAACTGAGCGTCGGTGCAAACAGAAAAGCTCCAAGATGGCCAAGTGCGCCTGGAGTCCCAGGGAAGGGCGGATGTCAGGATCTCGGGAAACTGCGAACTGCTCGGCAGATGTCAAAATGGGCAGGAAGGCGGGGGCAAGGGGCGAGCGTTATCAATGCATTATCCCCGCCAATCAATCAATCAATCACTCGATCGGTAATTGATCTATCCCGGGAAACGGCCAGGAGAGCTGAGCGCCGAGCCCCCGGCCATCACCGTGACCCCTGAAGCAAGGGTGTCCAGGGGCAGCGCCCCAGGGGGCGTCCGTGTCGAGCTCCGGCTGGGGACTGGGTCCCGAGAGTGGCGAAACCGAGGAAGGGGACCTAGGAAAGGCGATCTGGGCGCCCATGCAGGCTGGCGGGGGGGGAGAGGAGTCAGCGCCGGACTCCCGCCCGGAGGCGGGCGGTGGGGCCGGCGTCCGGGGGGCCCCGCGCTCACCATCTTGACGATGCCCCGCTGCACGGTGGGGACCGCGGGTCCCCCGGAGCCGCCGCTCTGCGCGGAGGAGGCCATGTGTGGAGCCGGAAAGGCAGCGAGGGAGGCGGCGGGCCGGCGCGGAGGTGTCAGTGCGGGTGTCGGTGCCGGTGCGAGGCCGCGGCGAGCAGCGGGCGGGCGACGGGCTGCGGGCGACGGGCTGGACGGACGCGCCGGGCGCTCTCGGGAGCAGCAGCGGGTCTGGGATCGAAAGAGGAGACGCGATCGCTGCCGCCGCCACACGTTCTACTCGCCGCGCAGGCGTGCCGGGGCGCCACCGCCCTCCGGCCAATGAGCGCCCAGCAGCCGCCGGACCGCGAGCCAATCGGCGCCCGGCTCGCGCAGCCCCGCCCCCTGGCCCCCCCGCGGGCGGCGGACTCCAGGAAGCGCTGGAAGCGCTGATTTGCGGTGACAGGCCCAGGGCGAGGCGGGACTTCCGGGGCAGCCGTAGAGGGTAGTGTCGGGAGGTGTAGTGGGAAGGAAAGGACACGTCAGCATCTGGCCGCGGGGCGCTGGGGGCCCTGGGAGCCCCGGGGGCGGGGCCCACCGCGCCCTCGGGTCTGGCCCCGCCCGTCGCGCCCCGCCCCGCCGGGAGCCGGGAGACCCACGTGGACGCCGGGGTTCCCGGAGGGCGCCCGGGGCTGGGGGTGCGGGCGGGGAGCCTCGGGCCGCACACTTCCCACATTTCACCCCGCAAAGTGTGGGGAGCGCTTGGGAAACTCTGAGCAGAGTGGAGGCTCCTGCCCACCTTGGCAGCGACCCGGGACGCGCCCTCCCCTAGTCCAGAGGGTGTTTCGCTTTGAATGGAGCAGCCCGGTGCGGTGCTACAGAGCAAGGGAACTGCTAAGAATAAGAAATCTTTCCCTGTTCGAGTCATAGACCTGGAAATGTAAAGTAAATAATAAGTTTGCTTCCTTAATAAGCACATCTAAACAAGGTCTGGCAGCTGCTAGGCTGATTGATCTCCCAGGCCATCCTGGAAGAGCTGTATCCTTCCCCTTTCCCTGTGTCAAGAATTTGTATGCTAACTAACCAGCTTTATCAGTGTAAAGTGGTTGTGTATAAAAGAAACTCTGTCTCTAGACCAGTGCTCAGACCTTACGGGACTACCCAGGTCTGAGACCTCATGCATGAGTAATAAAGCTTCTCCTGACCTCACCATTCCTAAAGTACCGCTTGTTCTTCCCCTGCCTGGGTAAAAGGCTAGAATTTATTTCTGCAACAACAGGGCAGGGAGAGAGGCACCCCAGACCCTGCAAACCTGCCTGCTCTAAATAGGTTCTGCCATCGGTGGCATCATGGAAGCTACCCCTTTCCTGGGGACCACCCTGTTACGCTAGCACTTGCAGGGCGGTTGAGTAAATGTTTGTGAATGGAAGGAATAAAGCTCTCCTAGGGCGGTGGTGTGTCCCGTGAGCAGGAGAAAGTGACTCGCTCTTCGGGCTCTTGCCTGCTGGGCCAGGGAAACAGGGAAAACCTCACGACCCGCTTTCCCTGGGCCTGGGGGAGGCAGCCCCTGACCTAGGGTGCTGAGCTCTGCCTCCCCCAACCGCCAGGTCCCCTCCCTCACCTAGCCCTGCTCTCTAGGATTGGCCGGGAGCTTGGGAGCGGGAACAAGGTGATGCAAATGTTTAAAGTTTATAGGCAGCTCGTATTCATCGGGTGCCCGCTACGGGGAGCCAAGGACCTTATATATTTTGCCATTTCATCTTAATCTTAAAACCTGCCTATACAGTGAGAACACAGCTTCCTCTGCTGCCCTTTTGAGAAATTGTCTGCTTATTCTTCCTTACTTCACAAGCCCAGGGTCCAGTTTTGGGGTCAGCATCTTTCCTAGATTCCCAGAACCTCTTCTATGCCTTTAGCCACCCTCTTTAAAAAACATCTTTGTAGGGGATCATTCCCTCTATCACACTGAAGTGGTTGTCTGCCCCAAGTACCACCTTGTCATCCAACTGAAATTCACCTTGTCACCTCCTGCACACTCTCCTCCGTTCAATGATCCTAAATGACTTAAAAATTTATGAGCCTTGTTTATCCAATACTCTGGCCTCTCAATTCCCAGACTTCATCTTTAATGAACTTGACTTCCTCTTTGATGAACTTGACCTCTGCACCAGTTTAGCCACCCTTTCAGGACCATGAAACATTACAGGTGCTCCATGACTAAAACTGTATATTCAAGACACCCCATTTTCTGATCATAATTGCTGTCCTTTCTCCTTTCCCACTCAATTTTCTCAGACCTGGTATTCATTATCTATTGCTGCAAAGTTATTTATCCCCAAAACTTAAGTATTAAAACAATGAGTATTTACTATCAGTCTCTGTAAGGAATCTGGGTGTGGCTTAGCTGAGTGCCTTTGTCTCAAGGTCTCTCATAAGGCTGTGATTAAAGTCTCATAAGGTTGTGATTAACCTGTGGTCTCCTCTGAAGACCCCTTCTCTGACGGAGGGAAGTGGTGTGGTATCATTACTAAATTTAAAAACCAACCTCCCATTTCTTGCCCAGCAGGCAAGATTGGGAAGCTTAAATGGATAAAGGAAGTGGATGGGACTGCTATGGGAACCTGGACATTAAGCTGATGATCCAAATTGCTGATGATCCATTATGCTAATTAAGATCATCAGGACACACCCAAGACTAGTCACCCTAACCAGTCCGTGATGCCTGGAGTATAGAGCCTCAGGACCCTTACCATCTTGCACAGTAGATGTCTTTTGTCTTACTCACTGCTTGTCTGAGCAGTGTATTTCAATAAATCTGCTGTTGTGTTTCCCACTGTCTCTGGTAAATTCTTCCACATCCACAGTAGTGTTTCTGAGTTCATCAGATAGTTGTTGCCAAGATTCATTTCCTCAAGAGTGTTGGACCTAGGGTCTCAGTTCCTTGCTGGTTCAGTCTGTGGCTATCTGCATCTCAACATAGGGCAGCATGCAACATGGCAACTGGTTTCCATCAGAGTAAGAAATTGAGAAAGCAAGAGAGGCAAGCAAACCAGGCTGTTAAGGAATCTAACCTGAGAATTAACATCCCATCACGTTTCTCCTCACCATTAGAAGAGTCACTAGTCCAGCCCACATCAAGGGAGGGGCTTATCTAAAACATGAATACCAGGAGGCAGGCCCACTGGTCCTCTTAGTGGCCACCTGTCACACACTGTGCTTTCATATTTAGTAGAAATCAATCTCCCTGTACCCTAAACCCACTTTAACTGACCCTCTGGATCCTTGGTTGGACTCCAGACCCTCTCCTTCCTATAGCTTCATTTCTAATCCCCATGGTCTTCCAATAAACTCACCTATCAAAACTCCAAGTCAGTTCTCTCTGCCTTCTCCAAACCTACCACTTAACTAGAGAGAACTCTGCGGCAGGTTAGGGCCGCCATCAATGCATGGACCACTGCCTAGAATTTCTTCTGTTTGCTCAGTTAAAGTAGTTTTAGGTTCACACCCATTTGATTAGGTAGAGATGTCTCCCCTCTACTACATGGACATAGTCTCCCCAATCATCAACACTTCCTGAAAGAGTGGTACTTTTGTTACAGCTGTTGAACCTACACTGACACATCATTGTCATCTGAAGTCCATAGTTACCATTAAGTTACACTCTTGGTACAGTCTATGAGGTTGGACAAGCATGTCAGGTCAGGTAGACATCAGTATGGTATCATATAGAATATTTTCACTGCCCTGAAAATCACTGGGTCTGTTTTAAACCTCTGTCGTCCTCTTAATTCCAACGATACTTTCTCTCACACTCAAGCAGTGATAAGACCTCCTACTTTAGAGATTAAAAAAGGCTAGAAGGGGGCGGAGCAACATGGCGGCGAGGAGACGCTGCGAGTAAGATCTCCCATTAAAAAAAGTTAATAGGGAGGAAAAGCGGCAGGTCCCAGTGAGAAGTGGGACACGGAAGATAAACGGGTGACGCCAGCGAACTGCCCGAAGAAGAAAGTGGCCATAAAAGAGGACTAGAAGGGAGGGAAGCGCAGAACCCTGCTCCCCTCCCCCGCCCACAGAGGCGGCACTCTCCCACCGGCGGAGAGGAGGAAACAACAAACCAAAACGGCCCACAAGAACAAACGACGCAGCAAGCGGGACTGTGAGTGGAAAGGAACTATTGCAGCCACCACACCCCGTGAACGGGAGCTGAGGCGAACCCTGCAGGATCCGCCGCGGCGGTGAGCGAACGGCTCCTGGCGCCATTAGAGAAGAACAAAGACCCTGGGAGACCCGCACACAGCCCGGGCTGCCGGTAAGCTGGCGCGGAAACGCAGCGCGCTCGGGGAGCTTGAAAAGCAAGTGCAGACCTGGATCGCGGCTGCCCAGGTCCCCGCGCCTGCGACCTAGGCTTGCGGGGAGACGCACGGAGGTCCTCACTGAGGTGAAGGTCCCTCCCTGAGTGAGCAGGAACCAGGCGCCCAGGCACGGGAGCTGTGCAAAAGGCGCCATTCCCGCGCCACTGAACTGGGCTACAGCCCGCGTCCTGGAACTGAGGGCTTTGAACTGAGACCCGGGGCACGAAAATTCGGGGCGTGGGTTCTCCACGACGGTGGGGCACAAGGCAGACACAGCACCCCAAAGCTGTTGAGGTGTACCCTACCATTCCCGCTCTGTTCTCTGTCCCACGGGGTGGGGGGAGGCGAAAAACAGCCCCCCAAGGACAATAGGAGAGATCTCTGGCGCCACCTAGCGACCAGGAAAAAAAAAGTCACTAACACCCTATAAAACAGGACATTTCTTAAGGCTGCTTGAAAAGGGCAGAAGGTTTCTGGAGGACCCAGTGGCCAGCCGGGAAGTTATTCCACGCCAGGCCCCTTCCGACCAGCAGTCTGAGCCCACAGAGGGAGCAGGCACCCACGTCCGGGGCAGACCGGGTGCGCAGAAGAGTGTGCCTGAAACCGGAGGCGCAGGGACTGCATCCCGCTTCGCCATTTGAGAACAGGGACATTTCTTCAGTAAAAACTGCCTAAAACCAGCAGAAAGCTCCCCCAGAAGACAGAGATGGCTCCTGGAAGAGCCAGAGGGGAGCGGAGAAGTTCACCCAAGATGTCAGTCAGTCCGAGCAACACAGTGTCCCAACGCATACGACAAATTAGAAAACAGACAGTAGGGAGTAGAAGAACCACACGCAACCTAACAACTCCTCAGGAAAGAAGCACACCACAAAAAGAAAACCACTCCCCAGATTGCAACGACAGCAACTTGGAAGAACTTCTGAGCC